TCTCTCTCTCTCTCTCTCTCTCTCTCTCTCTCTCTCTCTCTCTCTCGCCTTACAATCACTATGCCCACCAATTTTTTCCTATGTGAGTCTCGTTTTTCCAAATGGAGAACTGAACTGTGTCTAGAGAAAAGACCAGTAGCCTTGGAGGAAGAGGACCCACATTCAAACCCTGGCTCTGCCTCAGTAGCTCGTCCCTAAGTAAGTCACTTGAGCTCTCTTTGCCTCAGTTTCCTCACCCATTACAAGCCACGTAGTCCCAAGCTCACTTGTATGAAGGAAGGAACGCCTTTGTACAGCTTAAAGCTTTAGAGAAACAAGAGGTGTTATTCTACTTCCATGCCCCTACAGGGCCAGGCAAAGAAGCGAGCCCAATAAATACCACTGCCTTTTCCCTGCCCGTGAGGGCCAGCTCTGCCGCCTCTCTGCTCCCTGCTGGGCCCTGACAACACATGGAGCCCACTCTGCCTCCTAGGGAGCCCACTCCACCTCCAGAACTTACAAAGATTGACTGTTCCTTCAATCTCTGTTTGGCTTCCTCAGCTTCCAAAGTCTGCTGTTTTCTCCTGAAAGCACAGCATGGCAAATGACTGAGGGAGGAGGGAGGGAGTGGGAAAGGGCAGGAATGGAACACAGAGAACTTATGCCTAGGAAAAGGAGTGTTCTTCATCCAACCTGGGCCCAGGACTTTTGCCAGAGATACCCTGGATTTGCTGGAAGAATAGGACATGGGCACATAGGTGGCCCCAGACTGGGGTGGGGGTTGGGGAGGAAGGAGTGTCTCAATGAGGGCAAAGGAACAGGGCAAAGGGGAAGCCATGGGGGCTGGCAGGCAGTGATGAAGAAGGGAAGGAAAGGAGCCACACCTGTGCTCTTCAATCTGCTGCTCCCTCTCCCGGTACCGCTTTTCCCTCTCCTCCTGTTCTAGGCGCTCCTGCTCCATCCGCTCCTGCTCAAACTTCAGCCTTTCATCCAGGGCCTTCTTCCTCTCCTCCTCCTTTCTCAGCTCCTCTTCTCTCTACAGCCCCAACCACAGCACGCACCCTTCAGCTGCCACACCGTCACACAGCTCTCAACCCAAGGACCCCCTTGTCCCAGTTAGGGTCCTCCTCCTAAAATCACCTTCCCTTCCATATGTGGAGAGCTGCTCTACCCACCCTCCTCAATTGCTCTAGCACAGGCTGCTGGGAGGGCGGGGGCTTCTGGACAACGGGGGAGTGCAGGGGACAGGAAACCCCTGGTTCTAGCAGAGGAAGAGGCCTACGGAGGAAAGGATTGAGGGCTCCTGGTCCTGCTAGGAAAGACACAAGAAATGGGGAAGGGACCAGGGTGGAGCTGGACAGGTCACTGGGCATTGCTCAGAAGTAGGGGGCTTTCATATGGCTCTCAGGGCCCCTACCTTGGCCTGCTCCCAGAACTGCTCCCGATTAAGCCGTTTCATTTCCACAGCAGCGTCTGTCTTCTGGTAAGTGGTACCCTGGGGGTGGAGGGGAAGGAGGAGATAGGTAAGCAGCTGGACAGTGTGGGCAGAGCCTAAGCTAGGCTGGGAGGGGCCTGGGAGGGGCTGGTCAGGAGGAGGCAGCTCACCACAGGCTCAGCGTTCTCATCCTCCCTAAGTCGCAGTCGGTGCAGCACTGGGCTGGACAGGCGAGCCAGGCCATTAGAAAGCCGCTGTCCGATGGCACCAGCATCTATGTCCTCCACGCTGCTCGCGTTGACAATCACATCCACACCCTGTGAAGAAACCGGATTCATTTTAGAGGGGTCTTGGCCCAGAGGTGATGCCGAGGCAGGTACAAGACTCCCCTCCCTCCCTCCTTCTCATCCCCAAGTCCACACCTGAAAGAATTCCGCCACTTTGGCCACATGGCTGGCACAGGCACACTTGCGGGCATCCGGTACATCCTCACCGACCTATTAGAGGAGAATAGGGGACAATTCAGGAGCAACTCCCCAAACTGAGGCAATAGGTGGGCTTCTGGAAGGGCTCTCAGCTACCTTCCAGCCCCTCAATTGGAGAGGCAACAGTGAGCTCAAGACTCAGGCCAGGTCCGAACTCCTCATTTCCACCCCAATCCCCATTCCCCAGACATCCCAGAAATGCCAAATCTCAAAGCTGCCAAGGGCCATCTAGTTAAGAGTCAATAAGCATTTACTAAGAGCCTTACTATCTGTCAGGCACCATGCTAAACGGTAGGGGTTCAAAGAAAGGCAAAAGATAGTTCCTACCCTCAAGGAGCTTACAATCTAATGGGGCAGAAAACAAGCAAACAAAAATGTACAAAGAAGATATGAACAGGAAAAACAGGAAAAAATTAACAGAAGAAAGGCACCACCTGTCTCCCTGACTGATACTATTCTCATACATGGTGTCCAATAAGTGGTTATCCAGCCTTCTCTTGAAGACCTCCCCAGGCAACCCATGCTACTTTGGGACAACACTAATTGTCAGAAATGGGTGGCTAGGTGGTACAGTGGATAGAGCACCTGGCCTGTAGTCAGGAAGAACTGAGTTCAAATCCAGCCTCAAGACACTTACTAGCTGTGTGTCTCTAGGCAAGTCACTTAACCCTGTATGCCTCTGTTTCTTCACCTATAAAATGAACTAGAGAAGGAAATGGCAAACCACTCCAGTATCTTTGCCAACAAAACCCCAAGTAGATTCACAAAGAGTTGGACATGACTGAACAACAACAATTGTTAGGAAATTTTTCTTTCTATTGAACTGAAATCAGTCTCTTCAACTTCCTCCTGTGACTCTTGGTTCTGCCCTTTGGGGATAAGCAGAAAAGTCTAATCCTTGCTGGCCCTGGCCCAGGGAAAGAACAAAGGCTCACAGATTTAGAGATGGAGGATAACCTAAAGGCCAACTGGTCCAACTCCCCATTTTACAGATTAGAAAACTAAAGCCTCCAGAGGTTTAGTGACTTGAGGTCACACAGAGCCAGGATTTAAACCAAGGCCCTCTGACTCCAAATTCAGTATTCTTAAAATTGTCCTAAGCTGCTTCTTGGAAGAAGGGATAATCTCCCCCCACCTCCAAATACTTGAAAGCCAGCTCTTTTGAAGACTCTTCCTCTCCACATTAAATATCCCCACATTATGGCATGATTTGCAACCCCCAAACCATATGGGTCACCATCTTCTGGATGCTCTCTAAAAATGTGATACCGAAAACGCAATAACAGGTGTATTCTGACCAGACCTTCTGAACATTATACATATTCTTTCAATGCATTGTTGCACTGTGGACTGATAATGAGCTTGGGATCCACTAAAACCCTCAGATCTTTTTTGGACAAACTATTATCAGGACAGAAACCCTTCCTGCGTTCAAATCTGGCCTCAGACATTTACTAGCTGTGTGACCCTGGGCAAGTCACTTAAACCCAATTGCCTCAGTTTCCTCATCTGTAAAATGAGCTGGAGAAGGCAATGGCAAGTCATTCCAGTATCTTTGCCAAGAAAATCCCAAATGGAGTCACAGTCAGACATAACTAAAAAAAACTGAACAACAACAAAACTGACCAAGTGACTGACTTGGTCAAAGCCCTCTCCCTCCTCCTTCCCTTCAAATGGAATCCAGTTCATGCAAGCCCAGAGTTTGGGATTTTAGGCCACCTGTGACATGTACTTTGGACTAAATTGTATGTGAGAGCCCATCCAAATCTGAGATTCTGTGACTTCACCCTTATCCCTATGAAATTTCATCTATTCAGCTGAGCCTGGCTGCTTGAGATCTTTTTGGATCATCCAGCGTATTAGCCATATTTTTCTATCCTGCTTGACATTTAACTATCCAGCTAATCATCCTGGCTTTGTGCCATCAGTGAATCTGATAAGCATTCTATTTATGCCTTTGTCCAAGTATCTGGTTGGTTAACCCAGATCAACTTGCTGAGCTTATGGGCTGGTAAATCTCTGTGTGGGACTTTGTGTCTCATCAATTGGGGAAGAACTGACTACCTCAGACTTTTTCCAGTTGGAGCCAACCCTCTGTGCTAGAGCCAGAAAAGGGAGCCTTCACTGAAGACTTGGCCCTTTTTGTCCTTTTCTTCCTTTTTTTGCTTTTCAGCAGTCAGAGCAACAGAGCTAAAAGAAGCTCAGAGCCCCAGGAATAAGTGGGCTTTGGGGTTCCTTCCAGGTCTAGATTTATGATCTTGTGATTTCTATGAAGGGTTAAGTGCTTTATGGGGTCCCTCCCGTCCCCCAAAGCTGCTAATTGTTATATGTTTTAAACCTGAGATGGGGCCTGAGAAAAAGGTACCTAGACCCCAGGCTCTGCAATCCACCCTTTTGGGGGAGTTTCTGGACAGCTCAAGCCTCAGGGTTTGTCTCCCAGCAATCCAAACTTTGAGTGTTCAGGGTGACCCATGCTTCTGAATGAAGAAAGGGTGTTCCTGAGAAGCACCAGCCTCTTGGAGATCCCAAAGTTTTACCTTCTATTGAAAGAAGGGGGAACTGATGGGTGCTACTAGTCTCTTGGGGAAAATGGGATCGCATACATCAGCAGGGAAGCAACACCATAATACAGAGGAGCAAAATACCTAGATTTTGACCTCTGCCATCACTGTGTGAATTATTCAGACAGTGCAGGTCCAATGGGAAAGGAATTTAGGAGTACCAAGTTCATATGTTGTCAGGAGAGTCTAAACCCCCAACAGTCAGGGGACTTAGAGCCCTGGGAGTTAATGGGACTCACCAAAGGAGGAGGAAAATTGCATTGATTGTTTAGGGGCTACTGTGAGTCCTCTATATGTTTTCTACATTTTCTAAGGCATGCTATAAAGGCTATTTTGTATCTGAAGTGTATTGTTGTCTTAAGTGCTTGTGTAAGAACTGGAATGTCTTTTACACATAGCTATGGTGAGCTAGACATGAACCATATTTGACCTATATCCTGAGATTTCACAGAATAAACTTGATGGGGGTGGGGGGTAATTTGAACTAAAGGGTGGGGAGCTGTTCTCAAAGTTGACTGTGGTCAAGGTAAGCCCAGAGCTTGGGGTACTGGATTATTCGTGGATCACACATAAATTGATAAAAGCCCTTATCTTCTTAGCTACCCTAGAAAAATTTCCTGGTCTGGTCTCATCCTTTCCTTACCCCAGGAGAATAGGAATGCACTGGGTTCGACTAGATTTTCTACAGAGACCTTTCCAGCTCTAAATCCTAAAATCCTATGACCTAGTCCATCCAACTTCATTTTCCAGATGATGACAAAGACCCAAACTGGCGACGCGACTAGCTAAAGACACATAAGTAGCAGGGGCAGAATTTAGAGCCAGGACTAAACCCAGTAAGTGTCTTCCCACTTAACCCAGCCCCTTGGCCCAAAACACATACCCAGTTGATGAGAACATATTTGGGGAGTGCAGCCTGGGAGTCCTTGACACTGCAAAAGCCGTACATCACCTTCTGGTTCTCAAAATGACCCGAGAGCTCCTGTAGGCCACCCCCTGAGGCAAACAGAGGACATAGGGGTAGTAGGTCAGGTTGACCATTTGCAAACGAGTGGGTCCCCAAATTCCCAACTCTTCCCTGAAAGAGGAGCCCTGGTGCTGAGAATAACAGTCCAGGAAGACAGCATGTGCTCTTCCAGCTCGCTGGATTCCTGGGTCCCATCTGAGCTACTATCCTCCTAGAGACCATCATTAGTTTACTTTGGTTCCTACCGCTATTCCCAACTCTCTTCAACCCCTCTACTTGCTTTAGGAGGCCCCAGCTCAAGATTATTACTTCCCTGGGGGAAAACCAAGAAAAAAGTCCAGAATCACGGGGAAGGAGAATAAAACTGCCAAGAGAAAGCTGAAAGGGAGAGGTGGTGTGTGGAGAAGACTGGAATGAGGAATGGTGAGAATTCTTACCTCCTGACGCTGCTAACTTGAGGTCATCTGAATCGTCCTCATATGTGTAAAGAGCCCTGGGGCGAGGGAGGGGGGAGAGGAGGAAAGGCTCAATGACTCTGCAGGCTGGATCGCCCCTCCCCTCCACGCCCACCCCTGTTCTCCAGGCCTAGAAGAAAATGGAGAGGAGGAGGCAGCGCCTCCAGGAAGGGGGGGGG